GTCAAGGTTTTGGGGGGGGGGGGGAGACATTCCAGAGGAAGCACCTCCTCAGCCTGCAACAAGGGTGTGGGAAGACGAAGAGGATGAGGCTCCTCTTTTTGAGGGTGGGAAGACGAAGAGGATGAGGATGAGTGCCCCTGCATCGGCAGCTCAAGATTATCAATGACCCACCAGTGATATGGTAGAAATGAGGGCAGAGATATTTTTGCATCTCTCCATTCTTCCTGACTGGGGGCAGGCGGGATAAGAGGGTAATAGATGGCTAGCTAAATGATCTAAATTCTCCTCCTGGACTGTAGAGATAGATTGTAGGTTTCTCTGGGCTCTTTCAGATCCACAGTCCCAACTACCTGTAATGGATGGCATGAGCGAGGAGGATACCGCAGTGGAGGATCAAGGTTATCAGGAGGGAGGGAGTACATTCCAGAACAAGCGCTTTCTCAGTCCACAGCAGGAACGTGGGAAGACAAAGAGGATGAGGACAGCCCCTCCCTAGAGTCTCACGGGGTATATCCACTCGCTGCTTTAGCATAGGTTGAGTCTGGCGAGATTCTGTCTATTAGGTGCGAGATAATAAAGGAACTGAACTGGACTGGACTGCCTCGTTGCTGTTCTTGGGCTGAGCCTGACAGCACCTCTTCCTGGTCCTGATTCCAGTATATTTGATAGAAGTGATTAGTTCTGCTTTCTGTTGCAGGACCTGTATTATGAAATAAGCGGTCCTTTAGAGTTGAAGCAGACCTCTCGTTACTGTTTAGGAGGGGTTCAGAAACCTATTTATTTTCCCAGGCCTTTTAACGCTACTGTTCTAGTGAATTTTTGGGGGGGTTTGTTTTTTTGTTTTATAGTTGTCATTTTTAAATGCTGATTTTATGGCAGCTTTGCTGAATCGTAATCTGCAGGGAGCCATTAAGGGAGGGAGCAGCATATAAATCTTTCAAATAGATCTTCTGAATAAATAAATACACGGGATGCGCTCCTAGCTCCGTTTTGATGCAGATGGCGACTGCACACTTAGTGCCTTCAGTAACTCAACGGCAGACCTGTTCGGGGTAAGGATTTAGCAGTCAGCGCACAGATCTAAATCTGATTGTAGTGGATAAGCACCAATGACAGGCGCATTAGCCCTCCGTGTTCTAGATGGAAGAAACCCGAGAGCTCACCATGTTGAATTGCAGGAGGGGTGGGCCGGCTTTGACATGTGAAATCCCTTCCTCTATTTCAGAGGTGGCATTTGAACTTGCCCTTGCTTTACAGTTCCCACACTGTTTAGACCTCCCAGCTGATGTTGATCACTCATGAATAAAAGAAGATTCCTTCTCCTATAGGCACTGGCAGCCAACGGCGGCACTGGGCTTGCTGTGGCCGAGCCTCAGATCGCCATGTTCTGTGGAAAGCTGAATATGCACGTGAACATCCAGACCGGGAAATGGGAGACCGATCCTTCTGGGACAAAAAGCTGCTTTGGAAGGAAGGAAGAGATTCTGGAATATTGCCAGGAGGTAAATGACTGCGCTTTGTAGCTGGCTTCGGCCGACATTTGGAAGCTTATGACTCAGCTCCAACTCTCCAGTCTTCTTTGCAGCGTAATTGTAAAAGTGCCGCTTCAGAACACTTTCTGTCTCACGAGCTTAGTTCCCTTGTGTGTGAGAGCATACGTGCGTGGGATCCGTGTCATCCTTGGCTAGTGAGTTCTGCATTTAGTAAAAGCAGAAAAGCTTTGGTGGCTTTATATTTAGCTCTTCTGAAGTAGTTGGCAGGACATTTGTCGTGATATAGATCTTAGTTTCCCTAGCTTCCTGGGGCCCTTCACAGTAGTTCCCAAGTAAGCAGGAAAGTCACAAAGTTGTTTATGACTATATCTTCTGACCTTAATGGCTTAAAATGGATGGGCAGATGATGATGGTGTTTTGCTCCCTGTATTTGACTAGGCTTTCGTCCAGGCCTATTCAGGTACCTAGGCCAAGCCCAACCCTATTGCTCTGGTAGGAGTAATGAGATGATGTTGCTGACTGGGCAACAGTCAAGCTTTATTGAGATTCTTCCTTTTACTGCTTCCTTTCTTCTTGGCAGGAACCTCTCATTTCTTCATGCATTGCCTAGGTTTATCTAATTTCATGTTTTACTTTTAAAAATAGATCTATCCAGACCTCCGGATTACAAATGTGGTAGAACTCAATGAACCAGTTTGCATTAAAAACTGGTGCAAGAAGGGCAAGAAACAGTGCAAGGGTCATACCCATATTGTCGTACCCTTCAAATGTCTTGGTAAGTATGTATTTATTTATACCAATTTGTATGGCTGCCCTTCTCACCAGTGCGATTGGGTGGCTAACAAGAATTAAAATACAATATAAATGCAATATATATTTAAGAAAAAAAAATAAAAAATGCTGTTCCCAACCGACTAACACAAAGTGGCTCCTGAAAACATCATATGTACCTGCTTGACTTACTGTACTGACTTCTGTTACTGTAGTTCCCTTATTTTTGTTGCCAACATTTGCGTGCACGATCCTTGTACCAGCATTATTAGTGCATACTGGTCTTTGTAATAGTGTTTCTTTTAGCAGCAGAGTTCTGTACGTATTTAGGTACTACTTCAATAGCATTTGTGCTAGCGTTAGTGATTGGAATTAACTGTGGTAGGACATGTGGTAGGATTTAACTAGAAATAGCCGATTATTGCCTCCCACGGGGATAAACCAAAAAACCCTAAAACCGTGTGGTGTGTTGCATTCTTATCCATGATCTAAAAAAAAGTAATAAATAGGGTGAAAAATGTAAGGTTTTATATCCAGTATATTAAGAATACTTGTTCTGAGGAAAGGATTATCTCAATTTGAGAATGTGAAATAACATACTTCCAGGACTTGTGCTGGCAGGGCCTGACAGGTAAGGTCCATGTAGTTTATATTTGGTTGTATAATATGGTCTGTAATTTGGATCTGAAAATTTAAAATAATTGACACATAGATGATTTTACTTAGGTTCATGTTCTTGTGGCTTCAGTGCAGTCTGAGCCTAACTCTTTGTTTAGTCTGAGGTAAGCATCCATGACCCTAACTCTGTTTAATAATTATAGCCATTTGGTGTATAAAGAGTTGTAATCTTAACTGTAGCTCTAACACTTTTTTTTAAATTTAAGAATTTCTTTAAATGAGTTTCATGATAGTCCGTAAAGTAAAAAGCAATACTGTAGTCTGTAAAACTGAGAAGCAATTCCATGTTACACTGGGGTTGTGGGATCCATGAACTGGAACAAATTGGAGGGTGTGGAAGGTGGAAACAAAAGAAGAATGAAGATAAGGACCATACAAATCTTGCTTCACAGAGGGCTTGAGCAAAGGGCTCCCCTAAAC